GTTGTCATGGGGGATTTCAACCTGCCATCTATCGGTCTGAGGTGGCTCGAGAGTTCATGGCTTCCATGACGGCCATGGACCTTACTCAGTTAATTCATGACCCCACTCACACAGGTGGACACACTCTGGACTTAGTTTTTGTCTCTGGTCAGTGGTTGAGTGGCCTTGATATAGGGGATATAGCCATTGAACCCTTGTCATGGTCTGACCACTCGCTCCTTCGACTGGACTTTCTAACCGCTGCACCTCGCCACAGGGAGGCGGCACCTGATGGATCCTGATAGGTTCCAGATGGAGCTTGGGCCATTCCCTGAAACTCTGGCTCATGACTCGGCTGAGGACCTGATGGCCACCTAGGATAGTGCGGCTGCCGGGGCCTTGGACTGTGTCGTGCCTTTGCGGCCTCTGACCCGGCACCGAACTCACCTAGCTCCTTGGTTCTCCGAGGAGCTGAGGGAGATGAAGCGCCGGAAAAGACGTCTGGAGAGTAGTAGGAGGACCAGCCGCTCCGAATCCAACCGAACACGGGTGAGGTCTCACATTAAGACCTACCTAGTGGGGATAAAAGCGGCGAAATCTAGTTATTTTGCCGCTCTTATTGCGTCATCAGATAATTGCCCAGCCACCCTGTTTAGGGTGACCCGCTCCCTCCTCCATCTGGAAGCGCGGGATGACCCCTTGCAGGGTCGAGCTGAGGATTTTGTGCAGTATCTCTATGACAAAATCGCTCAGATTCAGGAAGGGCTGGCCTCTGACTGGGTATGTCCGGACGGGATGACTGAGGCAGGTCTTGAGAGTGGTATCTGGGAGGAGTTCGATCCTGTGGCTCCCGAGGACATGGACAGGATCCTGGGAAGGCTGAACGCAACCACATGTTTATTGGACTCGTGTCCCTCCTGGTTGGTACTAGCTTCCCGGGAGGTTACATGAAGCTGGCTCCAGAGGATTGTTAACGTTTCTGAGTGAGGGGGTCCTGCCGGCCGCTTTGAAAGAAGTGGTGGTGAGGCCCCTCCTCAAAAAGCCCTCTCTGGATCCGACTGTTTTAGCTAACTATCGTCCAGTCTCCAACCTTTGCTTCGTTGCGAAAATTGTTGAGAGTGTGGTGGCGCAGCAGCTTCCCTGGTACCTGGATGAAGCTAGACCCACTCCAGTCCGGCTTCCGGCCTGGGCACAGCACGGAAACGGCATTGGTCGCGTTGGTGGATGATCTCTGGAGGGCTCGGGATAGGGGTTGTTCCTCTATCCTGATCCTGTTAGATCTCTCAGCGGCTTTTGATACCATCGACCATGGTATCATGTTGCACCGGTTGGAGGGGCTGGGGGTGGGGGGCACTGTTCTGCGGTGGTTCTCCTCCTACCTCTCTGACCGGTCGCAATCTGTGTTGACAGGGGGGCAGCGGTCGACCCCGAGGCACCTTGCTTGTGGGGTGCCGCAAGGGTCGGTCCTCTTGCCCCTTCTGTTCAACATTTATGTAAAGCCACTGTGTGAGATCATCCGTGGCTTCAGGGTGGAGTTCCATCAGTATGCTGACGACACCCAGCTGTACATCTCCACCCCAGGCCACCTCAACGATGCCCTTGAAGTGATGTCCCAGTGCCTGGAGGCCGTGCGGGCCTGGATGGGGAGAAACAGGCTCCGACTCAACCCTTCCAAGACCGAGTGGCTGTGGCTTCCGGCATCCCGATATAGCCAGCTGGTGCCATCGCTGGCTATTGGGGGCGAATCACTCACCCCCACGGAGAGGGCTCGCAACTCGGGCGTCCTCCTGGATGCACGGCTGTCCTTAGAAGACCATTTGACGGCCGTGGCCAGGGGGGCTTTTTATCAGGTTCGCCTGATATGCCAGTTGCGCCCCTTTCTAGATCGGGACTCCCTACGCACGGTCACTCAGGCACTCGTCACCTCCCGCCTGGACTATTGCAACGGTCTCTATATGGGGCTCCCCCTGGGGTGCACCCGGAGGCTCCAGCTGGTCCAGAATGCGGCCGCGCAGGGGATTATGGGAGTGACGGGGCGCTCCCATGTAACACCTCTCCTGCGCGAGCTGCACTGGCTCCCGGTGGTCTTCCGGGTGCGCTTCAAGGTGTTGGTAACCACCTTTAAAGCGCTCCATGGCTTAGGGCCGGGGTATCTACGAGACTGCCTTCTGCCACCAATAGCCTCCCACCGGCCAGTGGGCCTCCTCAGGGTGCCGTCCGCCAGACAGTGTCGGCTGGCAACCCCCAGGGGGAGAGCCTTCTCTGTGGCGGCGCCCACCCTCTGGAACAACCTCCACCCAGAGATACGTACAATATCAGACCTCCGGATTTTTCGCCGGGCCCTGAAAACTTATTTATTTCAACTAGCCGGGCTGCCTTGATCCCACAGTTTTGGGTTAAATTTTAATTGATTTTAAATTGGGTTTGTTTTAAATTGCGGCCAAATATATTTAATTATTTTAAACTGTTTTTAAATTTTGTATATTTTGTTTTTATTTTGGCTGTTCACCGCCCTGAGTCCTATTGGAGAAGGGCGGTATACAAATTGAAACAAACAAATAAATAAATAAAATAAAATAAATAAATAAATAAATAAATAAATAAGAGAATGAACTTAATTAACATCTCTAACTCTGGCTGGCCATATGGTGCAGTCAATATATTTTTTCAGTGTCTGGAGGCTGCCAAGAGCCTGGAAGGGGAGTGGCCATGGATTCTGGGAGCTCTCGAAGCTGGGGACTTGCCATGTTTGACTCTGAATAGGAAGGTATCCCCAGACATACTGCAGATGGTGTTCAAACTGGGGGTTCTCTTAGGAGCCTAAACTCCTCTGCAAGTTATTATTAAATATAAATTTAATAAAATAAAATAAATAAATAAAGTAGCAGATGTAGCTAAGAGAGCTGCTGCACAGCTTCATCTTAGCAACCATTCTTAGACAGCAAGACTCTGCTCACAATCTCTCATCTTTAGTGACCTCCCATTGAGAGCAGTTCAACAGATTTTACATAAGGCTGACGTTGAAAACCACTAGAAGCTACAGTGGACACAGCAGCATGGTTTGCCTTGCTCTGTTCACCCACATAACATATATACTCCGCAGTTTTCTTTTATTGATATGTTTAGCTTAATAAAGGGAAAATGTACAATCACGTTTTTCCATTTGCAGATGTAGCAAATTGGCTTGTTCCAAATTAAAAAGCTTTATACTTCCTTTTCTTCATATACCTCTAGTGGAAAGGAAAGGTTTAACTGCTTTTGTTTCCTTCTAGTCCTCTAAACCTTTGTTTAGTTTGCCTAAATTTGCTCAATGTTTGTGCATATATACAGTACAGATTTAGGCAGTATAGCCAGAATAACTAAACATCTCACGACAATATAAAAAATAAAATGATCTCACAGCAGGTGGCAGCACTATCTATTGACTGGTTGTACAGCATTCTTTATAGCAAAAATTTATGCTTTATAGCAGAAGATATTCCAAATTCTGCAGAAAAATAACCGAAAGATAGCCAGTCAAGAACACCAAATTAAACAGGAAAACTGACAATTTTAAGAGTGCTCAATTTAGAATAGTGCCTCCATTGTCTGTCACTTTTTTTCTCACATTACTTTGAAATTAGTTTTGTACTTATGTTACTATGTATTTTTGCTAGGAGGTATAAGGTATATGAAGCACAAATCTACTGCTGAGAGATTTTATTCTCATCCTAACTTATTTTACAATTCCTGCATTAAAAACGAAAAATGAGAAAACATAGATCATGCTAAGTCTAGATTCATAGATCATGCTAAGTCAGAGATAGGCAATCTATAATGTTCCAGCTGTTCCTGAATTATATAGTTCCTGGCATCCTTGATCACAATATAATCTCATTGTCCTGGGAGTTGCATGCTTTGGCAATAGCTAGAGTCCCACATCTTATCATGATGTGTGAGTCTGGTCATCTCATATTTTCTCCAAGATCCCCCCAAGATGGTGTTTTGGGAATCTCTGATTTAGCATAATCTATGAATCTAGAGAAGGGATGCGGTGGCTCAGTGGCTAAGATGCTGAGCTTGTCGATCGAAAGGTCGGCAGTTCAGCAGTTCGAATCCCTAGTGCTGCGTAACAGGGTGAACTCCCGTTACTTGTCCCAGCTTCTGCCAACCTAGCAGTTCGAAAGCACGTAAAAAATGCAAGTAGAAAAATAGGGACCACCTTTGGTGGGAAGGTAACAGCATTCCGTGAGCCTTTGGCATTTAGTCATGCCGGCCATATGATCACGGAGACATCTTCGGACAGCGCTGGCTCTTCGGCTTTGAAACATAGATGAGCACCGTCCCCTAGAGTTGGGAACGACTAGCATATATGTGCGAGGGGAACCATTACCTTTTATGAATCTAGACACAGACATGAGCAATACAACTCTCATCCACAAGATGGCAGCAACCTTATAATATTGTACTATTACATTTATTTTTAAGACTGCTATCAATATAATAGCTATAGCTATCTGGCAGAAAGCTATAGGGAGATTTAAACACAAATATTTCCTTACTGAAAAGCTACTCTCACCTGTTCTGTGCCAGGTAAGAGTTCTGTGCTGTTCTGTGTTGAACCTTTCCAATCATTCCAAACTGCTTGTATTGTAAAAATCATTCATGCTCTAACCATTGCCATCTCAAAACCTAGCCGTCTTAGAAAACAGTATCTGTTCAGAGTATTTTTCTACTTCTTTCCATCGTCCTATTTTCTTTCACCAATTTTTACAAGCTTTCCAGTCCCTGAAAGCAGCAAAATGAAAGCAAGAACCTTACTGCTTTACCTGTCCCTAGTGTGTGCTGAAGTCTCATAATCTTTTCCCAATAGAACAATCCAAATCCACTGGCTTTTGCATGTCTTTCTACAGAAAAGCAAAACACCAATCTAGAGCTCCACTCTAACTGAATAAATGTTTTCAACAGAATAAAGTGTAGAAGATTGGGTCCTTTGTCATTCTAGTCTGTTTCAAGAAACAAATTTAGGGCAGATTTAGCAGTCATGGTATATAAATTAAGTAATTTATTAGTGCATCAAACTACAAGGTTGGGTTGACATGATGCAGCTAGTTACATAAACCAAGTTCTTCATATCTTACACATCTTTGAATGTTTTAACAATAGGGGTTCAAAATCTCTGCTTTCAACTATTCAGTCCAAACACAAGGAACTTATTGTGCTCTTCTAGCCGTGAGCATCTCCCGGATATTATCTTCAGCTTCTTTTACACTTCGTTCCAAATATGATTTCCTTTGCTGAAAGACAAAATAATAATAATAAGAATTACAAGAATAATAACAACAACAAAAATAATAATGCAGTAGCGATAATAGTAACAACAAGAGACTATAAAATAAGAAAAGATATGCCAACAGGCATTGGAATTAGCAAGAAAACATAAGCATAAAATATCAGCATAAAACAGAGAAAACATTTTAAGGTCCATTTAGCAAAATCTTTCTAAGCACTGCAAGTCAAACTCTGCTCTGAACTTTCCACACTGGTAAATGAGAATTGTCAAAATCATATTTAATAAAATGTTGTTCCATGCATTTGAGAAGTAAAGTCACATTAATGACTAAATAATTCTTCAGACACAGAAGTATCTAAAATATATTTATCATCAATATATAAAGAAAAATGTATACAGTATTTTACAATGACCTAAAATATTCAACAAATAATGTTATATTTTATAACTTTATTAAATTTATAAAGGAATATAAAAACAGAAATAATTTTTAAAAAAGAGAGAAAAAGAAAAATCTCTCACTTTCATCTTAAGAAATGAAAGATATAGAGACTCCTGCATATCCTGAGGAGTAGGTGACTCTTGCAAATTGTTTTGAAGCTCAGTTAATTCCTAATACAGAGCATTAACATTCTCCTCCTTTTTCATTAGAAAAAGTTACAACGGCACTGAAAAATGTGAGTTACGACCATTTTTCATAATTATGACCTTTGCAGCATCCCTGTGATCATGTGATCAAAATTCAGATGCTTAACAACTGGTTCATATTTATGGACTTTGCTGTGTTCCAGGATCATGTGATCACTTCTTGTGACCTTCTGACAAGCAAAGTCAATGGAGAAGCCAGATTCACTTGACAACCAGGTTACTAACTTATCAACTGCAGTGATTCACTTAACAGCTGTGACAAGAAAAATCGTAAAATTGGGCAAAACTCACTTAACAAATGTCTCACTTGACAACATAAATTTTGGGCTCAATTGTGGTTGTAAGTCAAGGACTACCTGTATTAGACTATATTAGACGTATCATCATCAGACAGGTAACATTTTCTAATTTTAGTTTCAATAATTCTATCTGAGTACACATAACTAAGCATGAAAAGACATTAGAAACCTTCAATCAAAAATAAATCTTATGGTGATTTTGAATTACTCAATATAACTATTATAATTCACGAGAATGAAGAAACAGAATTCATTATTCAAAGATACTAAACAATATTATGCTGATACTGTACATCATTCTTGTCAGAGGATCACAGATATTATTCTTCATGAAATAAGCTTATTGAGAGAACATAATCTCAGCTAGAAACTGAATACAGATGGCCACAGTGTATGATGACTTTATGCAAGATAATAGGCCAAAAATAAGACAAGCTTGATGAATATACATCAATGAACACATTCAAGAAGCACAGACACTCATTCTTCAGCAAGATTGCACTAAATGTTGTTTAGGAAATTAAAAGATTGACAATATATTTTGTGTTACCACCACCACTTCATTTCATTTCTTTTCATTTCTTGGATTTATATACCGCCCTACTCCCGAAGGACTCAGGATGGTGAACAGCCACAGAATAAAACACATAAATACAAAATTTAAAAACAGAATAAAACCGAATTAAACAATTTAGCCGAGACAAATTTAAAACACCCAATAATTTTAAAAACAAATTAAAATTTACATTTTAAAGGGGAAAGATTTAGGCCAGGCCGGCTTGATGGAATAAAAAACTCTTGAGAGCGCGACGGAAGGTGCGCAGATCGGGATCCTCCATATCTCCGGGGGGAGCTCATTCCAGATAGTAGGTGCCCCCACAGGGAAGGCTCTCCCCCTGGGGGCCGCCAGTCGACATTGTTTGGCCGACGGCACCCAGAGGAGCCCCTCTCTATGAGAACGTACCGGCTGGTGGGAGGCTATTGGTGGTAGCAGGCGGTCCCGTAAATAACCAGCTCCTAAGCCATGGAGCGCTCTAAAGGTGATAACCAAAACCTTGAAGCGCACCCGGAAGACCACCGGGAGCCAGTGCAGCTCGTGCAGGAAAGGTGTTACACGGGAACGCCACGTCGCTCCCATAACCACCCGCGCGGCCACACTCTGCGCCAGTTGGAGCCTCCGAGTGCTCCTCAATGGGAGCCCCATGTAGAGAGTGTTGCAATAGTCCAGGCAGGAGGTGACGAGGGCATGAGTGACTGTGCGTAAGGAGTCCCGATCTAGAAAGGGACGCAACTGGCGAATCAGGCAGACCTGATGAAAAATCCTCCCGGTCACGGCTGTCAAATGCTCTTCTAAAGACAGCCATGAATCCAGGAGGACGCCCAAGTTGCGAGCCCTCTCCGTGGGGGCCAGCGATTCACCCCCAATAGTCAGTGATGGCGCCAACTGACTATATCGGGACGTCGGAAACCATAGCCACTCGGTCTTGGATGGGTTGAGCCTGAGCCTGTTTTTCCCCATCCAGATCCGCATGACCTCCAGGCACTGGGACATTACTTCAAGGGCATCGTTGGGGTGGTCCGGGGACCACTCCTCTTTTTCCCCATTTCAATTTTCCCAACTTCCAGTGGGATATTCAACAGACTGTATATAGCACATAGCCAAAAATGCTGTTTTCCTGATTTTGGTTTACTTATTTGTTTATTTATTTATTTTAAAAATCCTCATAATTTAGTGCTAATGTAAACTCTACAACAAAATTGGCTAAAAGAAGAGTCCAGGGCAGATATGGCATACATGACTAGTTTTGTGGTTCACAACTTCAATCAGATATCATGCTATTTTCAGTACATTTCTACAAGACCATCAAATTTCAATACCCAGTAAAATCTATAAATAATTGCATTTAGACAGGAAAGAATTTAGGTAAGTCACTCTGCAGGAATTCCACACACCCAGGAAGTATTGATGAGTCAGACTTCAGAATGTCGGATTTCTGAAAACTGATTTCTTTTTTAACAGGAGTCTTACAGGTAGGCCTTGAATTACAATCATTCATTCAGCAACTGTTCAATGATTCATACCACTGAATGAAGGGATGTTACGAGTGTTGCAATGTCTGCAATGTCACATTCAGATGCTTGGCAACTAGCTTGCACTTACATGCTTTCTTCCCTCAGCTTGCCTGTGATTGCAATACAATGCACCCAGCATTCTCTTTCCACAGCCTCCCTGTGCTCATACACACATACCCCATACCCTCTTTCCATGTCTTCCTGTGATCTCTCTCTCTCTCTCTCTCACACACACACACACACACACACAAAGACAGACATGCATACATGCACAGATCCTGCACTCTTTCCACAGCCTCCCTGCACTTGCACACTCACAAGCCCCCCCGCCCCATGCTCTTCCCATGATCCCTCACCCACAGGGAGACAATCCTCCCTAAACCTCTTTTCCTTGGCCTCCCTGCATTTGCACACCATAGTCCCCCTACAATCACATGCACCCTGTGCCCAAATTCCCCAGCCTTTCTAAGCTTGCACCACTGAGCACCCCCTCCCTCTCATACATGGCCTATGTTGGTCCTCCCCACAACCCTTTGCATCACCCCTACACTTCTGACCTTGGAGCCCCTCTGCTTCTTTCTTAAAGACCCACACATCTGGGATTAGACAATCAGGACTGCCACTACTACCTGATGTGGTCACATGACATCACATTTCACCACATCGCTTAGCAACACCAATCCCAGTCCCAGTAGCAGTTTTAATGTAAGGACTACCTATATATGTGTTTATTCTGCCAAATATTAAACTAGACTGGTGGACCTTGGATTCCTGTTTAAGTATAAAATAAGCCTTGTCACTGGGAATTTTGCCATTATATTGCCTTTGTATTGATTTATGTTATTCAAATTTATATGGCCACCCATCTCACAAAAAGCAGCACACAACAATAGAATAAAACAATATATAAAATCATTATACATATAAAAACATTATTAAAAATTCAAATATTAAAAAAATTAAATATACAAACTACATGGAGTAAATATATTAACTACAGAAGAGTCATCTAAGAATGTCTCTGATTCCTTGGGATCCCCAGGCCATGTGACATAATCAGGTCTTGAGGAACTGCTGGAACATTAACAGATATGGAGTTAACCTGACTTGGTATCTGCAACATGGCTGATGTAATTGGGGAGAGGGGGTCCCTCAGAAGAACCCAGTCCCATGCCATTAAAGTCTTTAAATGTTAAAAACAGCACCTTAAATTGGATCTGGAAGCAGGCTGGCAGCCAATGCAGCTCATGCATCAGAAGTATGATATGTGCTCTTCTGGAGATTGCCCATTCTGCTACATTCAGTATGGTATATTCAGTACCAGTTGAAGATTCCAGATACTCTTCAATGGCAGCTGCATGTAGAGCTCATTACAGGGAGTCCAATCTGCAGGTGATTAGGACATGAGTGACTGAGCAGAATCTCCTGATCCAGAAATGGGCACAACTGGAGCACTAGATGAAGTGGTGCAAAGGTCTCCAAGCCACAACTGCCAACTTGAACAAGAATTCTGAATCTAGAAGGAACCCCAGATTGAGCAACAGGTCTGTTTGGCAGGGGAACCTGTAGGAGGGCCGACACAATCTTGTAAATCTGGAAGTACAAACTTCCCAACTGCCATTTTTAACTGCTTTTTCATTAGGTCCACCAGAATGGAATTGTCTAAAGAAATGTCAGAGCTGCCATGCTTCGCTCACACCTATGCTTCGCTAGATGCCAGTCTGTCATAAGCCATGAGGGGAGAGAGCAGGGGCAACAAGGGGGGAGATTGAAAGGAAGATAGAGGGAAACCGAAAACAATCTTCGTGCCATCCAACTGCATCCCAAGACTGCGGACCTGGGAATGGAATATTAACACCTCTGCATCTGGCCAACCTTCGCAGGGACAGTTACCAAAACATCTTCTTCAAATATGACTGGAGAATGCAAGATAACAGGTAGGGTGGACCAGAGAAGAGAAAGTTAACTAGGGAATCTTTGTGCG